ATAGGAAACCATATTAAATGGACAGTAGTGTGTTTCTGCAAAATGCGCTAAAAATGCATAGGTGTGAACCAGACCGTAAAGCAGCCCAATCATCTAGGAGCAAATCTCCAATACCTGGTACTGTTCAGGGCAACTGCAAGGTGTTTGGGTCAGTACAGGATGTCTATAGCAATTTAGGGCCCTTGCACATAGGGCCACCCCAGGAGAGACAGGTCCAGCCTCACTGCTTGCAGGCTGTAAAAGTCACAGTTGTCTGCCTTTAGGGCCCTATGCATTCAGGGACAATTATTTAAAACAAATGCCTGAAAAGTATTTTTATGTCAGCCCTTTCTTACTATACCATTTGGATAGAGTAAGAAAAAGTTTAAATTCCTTTCAGGTTTTTTTTTTCAGTCTGTGGCCCCACTGGGGAGATTTTTTCCTTCCTTCCCTGTGACACCCAGGGAAATTTATTTTCCTCCAGACATAAAGAGTGCCCCCTTGTCCTCTGTGATGACCTCAGGGTGAATAGCTCTACACCAAGTTCACTATATGAACCACTGATGTATTTATACATGGAGATCATATCCCCCCTTATGTATTATACATGGTGATCATATCCCCCCTTATGTATTATACATGGAGATCATATCCCCCCTTATGTATTATACATGGTGATCATATCCCCCCTTATGTATTATACATGGTGATCATATCTCCCCTTATGTATTATACATGGAGATCATATCCCCCCTTATGTATTATACATGGAGATCATATCCCCCCTTATGTACTATACATGGTGATCATATCCCCCCTTATGTATTATACATGGAGATCATATCCCCCTTATGTATTATACATGGAGATCATACCCCCCCTTATGTATTATACATGGAGATCATATCCCCCTTGTGTATTATACATGGAGATCATATCCCCCTTATGTATTATACATGGTGATCATATCCCCCCTTATGTATTATACATGGTGATCATATCCCCCTTATGTATTATACATGGAGATCATATCCTCCCTTATGTATTATACATGGTGATCATATCCCCCCTTATGTATTATACATGGAGATCATATCCCCCCTTATGTATTATACATGGTGATCATATCCCCCCTTATGTATTATACATGGAGATCATATCCCCCCTTATGTATTATACATGGAGATCATATCCCCCCTTATGTATTATACATGGAGATCATATCCCCCCTTATGTATTATACATGGAGATCATATCCCCCCTTATGTATTATACATGGAGATCATATCCCCCCTTATGTATTATACATGGTGATCATATCCCCCCTATGTATTACACATGGAGATCATATCCCCCTTATGTATTATACATGGAGATCATATCCCCCTTATGTATTTATACATGGAGATCATATCCCCCTTATGTATTATACATGGAGATCATATCCCCCTTATGTATTATACATGGAGATCATATCCCCCCTTATGTATTATACATGGAGATCATATCCCCCCTTATGTATTATACATGGTGATCATATCCCCCCTTATGTATTATACATGGAGATCATATCCCCCCCTTAATCTCCTCTTCTGAAGAGAGAATCAATTCAGTTCCTCTAATCTTTCCTCATAGCTGAGCTCCTCCATGCCTCTTATCAGTTTGGTTGCCCTTCTCTGTACTTTCTCCAGTTCCCCAATGTTCTTTTTGTGAATTGGTGCCCAAAACTGAACTGCATATTCCAGATGAGGTGTTACTAATGATTTGTACCGGGGTAATATGATATCTCTCTCTGGAGTCTATACCTCTTTTAATACAAGAGAGGATTTTGCTCGCTTTAGAAGCCACAGCTTGGCATTGCATGCCATTATTAAGCTTGTGATCTACCAGAACTCCCAGATCCTTCTCCACCATTGATTCCCCCATTTGTAGTTGGAGAAGTTTCTAGAAGTCAGTGGGAGGGGGTGAGGAGGAGCTAATCTGCATACCTAGGGGAATCTGGCAAATCCCCAGGCTTGAGGCCTGGCATGGTGGCTAGGTCAGCAGGGGATTCGGGTGGAAGATGGAGTGAGGAAGTGCTGCAGGTGTGGAGCCTGGGTGGGGGCCCCAGACGAGGAGGGTCTGCCTACAGACTGAGAGCTGGACAGAAGGACCTCCACTGTTTCACAGTCTAGTAGGGAAAGACAACCTTTCAGCAGGGAAGAAGCCAGCCCAGTGTAAAGCCTGAAAGCAGTTTCAAGCTACAGGAACAGGACAGTGTGAGTACCTCTAAACCCCCTGGGCCAAAGAAGGGGGAGGACAGTCAGGTGCAATACCCATCTAGTTCTCCCTGGGACTACATTCTTTGTGGTTCTTGGAATCCCTTGCCCTGGGATACTCTCAAGACAGCCAGGTGGATGAGGAGATTTTCATCTGGGGTCTGAGGAGTTTGCTCCTTGCAAAGACTGTGTGCTGATCTGTCAGAAGTGAAGTGCCACTCCTGAAGGAGTAGAGAGCTAGGCTGCTCGTTGCTAATGTTGGCGCCAATCAGACTATTTAAACCCAGCAGCACTATTAGCCTGTGCTGTCTGATCTGCAGCTCCCCCTCCTGTATTCCTGTGCCTGTCCCTGTGAACAGGGGCGGACTGACCATTTGGAAACTCGGGCACTGCCCGAGGGCCCAGGGTCAGTAGGGGGCCCCATGAGATGTCCCTGGTACCTTTTTCATAGGCTTTTTTGAGTTTGGGCAAGGACACAGGGGCCCCACGATCCCCTATTGCCCGGGGGCCCCATGAGTTGTCAGTCCACCCCTGCCTGTAAATGATACCTGTGATTGACCCCGCTTGCTTCTTGGACTCCGCCTCTGCCTTCTGTCTCTGCTTGATCCTCTCTCACCATTACTGACTCTGGCTTGTGACCCGACCATCTTCTGCCTTCCGTTTATGCTTGATCCGCTTATTGGTTACTGACCCGGCCTGTCTGACCCTGCATACAGCGTGCTACACTGCTCCGCTACCAGCCCCATCCAGCATGTGCCTGTTTACGTCTGCCTGTTACCTGCCTGCTCTGCAACCAGCCAGTCCAGCTGTGACGTCTGCCTGTTACCTGCCTGCTACCTTGCTCTGCAACCAGCCAGTCCAGCTGTGATGTCCGCCTGTTACCTCTGCCTGCTACCTGCCTGCTCTGCACCAGCCAGTCCAGCTGTGACGTCCGCCCAACCAGTCCAGCTGTTACCTGCCTGCTCTGCAACCAGCCAGTCCAGCTGTGACTGTGTTACGTCTCTGCAACCAGCCAGTCCAGCTACCTGCCTGCCCCCTGCCACCAGCCAGTCCAGCTGTGACGTCTGCCTGCTACCTGCCTGCTCTGCAACCAGCCAGTCCAGCTGTGACGTCTGCCTGTTACCTGCCTGCTCTGCAACCAGCCAGTCCAGCTGTGACGTCTGCCTGCTACCTGCCTGCTCTGCACCTGCCTGCTCTGCAACCAACCAGTCCAGCTGTGACGTCTGCCTGTTACCTGCCTGCTCTGCAACCAGCCAGTCCAGCTGTGACGTCTGCCTGCTACCTGCCTGCTCTGCAACCAACCAGTCCAGCTGTGACGTCTGCCTGTTACCTGCCTGCTCTGCAACCAGCCAGTCCAGCTGTGACGTCTGCCTGCTACCTGCCTGCTCTGCAACCAGCCAGTCCAGCTGTGACGTCTGCTTGCTACCTGCCCGCTCTGCCACCAGCCAGTCCAGCTGTGACGTCTGCCTGTTACCTGCCCGCTCTGCCACCAGCCAGTCCAGCTGTGATGTCTGCCTGTTACCTGCCTGCTCTGCAACCAGCCAGTCCAGCTGTGACGTCTGCCTGTTACCTGCCTGCTCTGCAACCAGCCAGTCCAGCTGTGACGTCTGCCTGCTACCTGCCTGCTCTGCTACCAGCCAGTCCAGCTGTGACGTCTGCCTGCTACCTGCCTGCTCTGCAACCAGCCAGTCCAGCTGTGACATCTGCCTGTTACCTGCCTGCTCTGCAACCAGCCAGTCCAGCTGTGACCTCTGCCTGTTACCTGCCTACTCTGCTTCCAGCCATCCCATCCACCAGTGAAGTGCCAACAATTCCTGCACAGACTACAGGACTGACCAGGCACTCATACCCCACTGTGCTCTTGTGGTTTCTGTTCCTCCTTCAGTGGCCCTCGAGCCGGAGCTGTACGAGAGGCCTTCCTCTGCCATCAGACTCACAAGCAAGGTCAGTGGGGAGTGACAGTGATGGAAGAATAGATTGGGAGTCACTCAGACTGCAGGAAGAGCTTGGGCCCCTGGAGGCAGACTGTAATGAGTGGTCCCCAGAGGGTGACTCAGAGGAGAAATGAGGACACACCAGAAGAATCTGAATCGCTGATGGGACATAATTTACTGTATGTACGATGTGTCCCATTTGCTGATGCCTCTTATGTTAGGTGAAATCCTCCTCCATCTTTGCCTCCACATATGGCGGCATGGGTGGGGGGGCATGGATGAAGGAGGATTTCACCTAAAAGAATTGGAACTAGCACAAGGGACACATCCTACTGACTAAGTTATGTCCCTTGTGCTCATTTTTTTGTTTTTTATTTTGGCTGCATTTGGCTTTACAGGATAAATTTACAAAATGTAAAATTTAATTTAAATTTAAATATGCATTTTTTTTTTTTTGTTTGTGTAGCCTGTAAAGCATTGCAACGGCGATCAGCAGATCCCTGGTGTCATGAAAGTCTCCTGCAGACCTGTCAGTATACAGGGTATACAGGCAATACGGGATGTACAGGAAAGTAGATATATTGACAGAATCAATGAACTACAACAGTGCTCAAAGCGCTGTGGTAATTCATTGAAAACTACAAGCCAACAGCCACTATGGCTGTCAGGACTTGTAGGTTTCTCATTCATAGAGGACTGTGCGTGCGTGACGCGGCAGGTGGGTGGAGCCCCACGAGGCCGCTGGGTTTTTTTCTTCTTCATTTTGACAGCTAGCGGGGAGGGAAGGCGGGGGTGGAGGGGGAGGAGTGGAGGCTTGTCCATTCATAACATGTTACACCCTGAATATGGGTGTAACATGCAATCAGGGACGGACTGACAACTCATGGGGCCCCCGGGCAATAGGGGATCATGGGGCACCTGTGTCCTTGCCAAAACTCAAAAAAAGCCTATGAAAAAGGTACCATGGGCATCTCATGGGGCCCCCTACTGACCCCGGGCCCTCGGGCAGTGCCCAAGTTTCCAAATGGTCAGTCCACCCTGCATGCAACATATTATGAAAGGTGAACTTATCCTTTAAGTGGTGGATGTGTATGGATTATTTTTTGAGAATAAGTATATCATTTAGTGTCACTTTAAAGTCTAGCAGATTTTATTTAACTTTGATTGTATACAATTAAAAAAAAAAGACCCACTTTGATTGGAAGGTTAATCACCCTAATCGTCAAACTTCCACCAATCAACAAAAAACCTGTTCCTCCATTTTTTAATATAATGTTTTATGACTGTTCTATTTTCGGTTGTCATCGGTTATCTCAGTGCTTCTGAATATTTGAAAGTTTACACTAGCTATTATCTTCACTGTTTGGCTAGAATGAGTCATTTCACTTTCAACCATAGTTTCCCAGGCAGTTATCAATTGTAGAAGCTATAATGTATCAAAACATATCACTTAATGGATGCAGCCATCACAGCACTCAATTTTTTCTATTTTTCTCAGTCAAGTGTATAAAGAGATTGCGACGACCTCATTTAAAAACCTTCAATGGTGTGTGTTTTACTGTTGTGAACACGAGTCTTTCATTGTCGGGAAACAAGCTAGATAAATGAGAATTATTTCCTATATTTAAAGGGGATGTACGCCCCTTATTAATGATTCATTCAGATATTGGTGTAAAAGAGATCTGCCTAATGTAATACTTTAATCAATATGTGTTATTGATTTAAAGCTTAACTCCGGGCAAAATTAGATTGATTTAAATGTCTTCCAGTCAGTTTGAAGCTGTCTGCCACATCTCTTCTCTGACAAAAGGTGTCCTCAGATTTAAATATTACCCCTTACCATGGAGCTGTTCTCTGATTCATCCTGGACCAGTGCTGGATTTATAAGGGGGCAAAAGGGGCAATTGTCCTTGACCCCCTTGACAGAAGGGGACTCCCTCTATGCAAAAATAATATAAAACAAAAAACGACAGGGTGCAGCAATATAACTTCCTTTTTTAAAACGCAATAAAACCCATTTTATGAATCAGAATTGTTTTTATTGTCTTTAATAATGTAGGTACATATCTAAAGTTCTGTTTTACACAGTTTTGAAAATCATATCAGGTAGGTGACGCCCCCCATTGTCCATACACTGAATAAGCCGATTTCTGGCGTTTTTCATGACCCTTACCAGCATAGCAGCGGGTATGTTGGCAATTTCTGCATGCATGTTGGCCTTCAGGTCTTGTAGGGTCCTTGGACGGTTTACATAAACACGGGATTTCAAAAAACCCCACAAAAAAAAGTTGCAAGGGGCCAAATCGGGGGAGTGGGCTAGCCACTCCAAATCGCCCCTTATTGAGATGAGGCGCTCGGGAAGTGTTCCCTTAAAACAGCCATTGATGCTCTTGAAGTGTGAGCCGTTGCTCCGTCCTGTTGCAACCAAATGTCCCCTAAGTCCAATTCATCAAGTCGTGGAAAAACACAAATTCCTCCAACATGTTCACATACCGGTCTGAATTCACTTATTCAGTGTATGGACAATGGGGGGCGTCACCTACCTGATATGATTTTCAAAACTGTGTAAAATAGAACTTTAGATATGTACCTACATTATTAAAGACAATAAAAACAATTCTGATTCATAAAATGGGTTTTATTGCGTTTTGAAAAAAGGAGTTATGTTGCTGCACCCTGTATATAGAATTTAAAAAAAAAAGGAAAAAATAACAAAATAATACAAAATATATAATTAAAAAAATCCTTAAATGTATCCTGGGCAGTAATATTTTGCCTGCCAGGGGCCCCCTTGACAGAAGGGGCCTGTCTATACAAAAATAATATAAAGCAGTATAAAAATGATATAAAATATTAAATAAGAATAATAATCAAATAATATAAAATATATACTACTAAAAATATACTTTCTTTTATTGACCACCTCAAGTCCAGACACTTTCACCCCCTTCCAGTGCATACCAATTTTCAGCTTTCAGCAGTGAATGACAATTGCGCGGTCATGCAACAGTAATATTCTGCCTGCCATCATCTGTAAATTTTTTACTCTGGACTGGTGTATTGTGTCATTTTTAAAAACACATTTTGGCTTGCTCAAGCAAACCACACATAGAGCGCTTACGCTGTTAAGGAAGGAGGCCTATGACTGCGTGTGTGTGCACGTATGACTTCAGCATGACTTTGTGTCATGCATTTTAAGAATGTGTGACTGTCAGGGCCATGGATAAGGGGGTACGACCAGTCCTCCTCTACGGGGCACAGGCAGCTGGGTGAATCATATTTGTGCACATGAAGGGTGATTGGCATGGTGGGGGGGCTATTACTGGAACCAATCCTCTGTATGGCTCTCTATGCAGCATCTGAAAGCTGGCTCCTTCTCCTCTCCCTCCCACTGGCTTTCATCTGCTGCAGAGAGAGCCATACAGGGGATCAGTTCCAGCAATCACCCCCCCCCCCCACCGCACCCATCACCCTCACTGTGCACCATATGTTACTCACTGCCAGGGGCGGACTGACCATTTGGAAACTCGGGCACTGTCCGAGGGCCCGGGGTCAGTAGGGGGCCCTATGAGATGCCCCTGGTACCTTTTTCATAGGCTTTTTTGAGTTTGGGCAAGGACACAGGGGCCCCATGATCCCCTATTGCCCGGGGGCCCCATGAGTTGTCAGTCCGCCCCTGCTCACTGCTGCCCAGGGCCCTTAGTGTGCCCCCACTCCTAGAGTGCTGTCAGCTTCCCTCCTCTCCTTTCCACACGCAACTGCAATCAAACAAAAGGGTCCTTCAGGGGGAGACTGAGGAAAGGGTCCTGTAAATATGTCACATTTACCAGCCCCTTCCTTTTCTGAATGAACACAATGAGTGATCCGTACTGATCATTCATAACGGAAGCATAGTAAACTTTTTTTTTTGGGGGGGGTTGAGGGGGCCCTATGAGGTTGGCTGTATGGGGCCCCATAGATTCTAACAGCAGCCCTGGTGACTGTCATTGGGAATGTTAACCAATTCCTCTATGTATAAGGGGCCCCCTGCAGCTGATGTGACCTGGGCCCAATCAAGGTTTAAATATGGCTCTATATAGAACTGCCTATATTAACAGAAGAGGACCCAGCACATCAGGTGACTAACCAGAAAACATCTCAAATTGGTAAGTTAAAAAAGCATAAAATACACTTTGTAACCTTCCATCAGCTCATCCCCCACAGTATTACCTTTTGTACCACTTGCCCCTCCCCATTAGATTGTAAGCTGTTATGAGCAAGGCCCTCTTAGTCCCCTCGTACTTCATTGCATTGTAAAGGGGCAGACCGATAACTCATGGGGCCCCAGGGCAATAGGAAATCATGGGGCCCCTGTGTCCTCGCCCACACTCAATCGACACCCAAAAAGCCTATGAAAGGTACCAGGGGCTACTGACCCCAGGCCCTCGGGCAGTGCCCAAGTGCCTAAATGGTCAGTCCGCCCCTAGTATTGTAACTGTACTGTCTCCCTTTATATAGTAAAGCGCTGCACAAATTGTTGGCACCATATAAATCCTGTCTAATAATAATTTCAGAGAGACTTCCTCTCACTTTCTGTTGTTTCTTCAATGGGATCCATGCAACAAGAAAAAACACAGGTTTTAACCCTTCCCTACTCTATGCAAAGCTAAAATAAAAAGCTGCAAATACAATTTAATACATCATTATGCAGTAAAATGTCATCCTTTATTATAATCACTTTAAATATCAAAAGGATTTAACAGCACCTTAACACAACACAGCATTGATCTTGAAAATCATTTCTTGATGAGTTTGGCACAATGGACTAGCCCTGTAAATATACCTAATGCACACTTTTGTTTTTGAATCCAGGTTTTCTTGGAAACTGCTGAAGAGGTCACTTTTAGCAATCTCTGCAAAATGCAAATTTAGCATCCTGAATTTTTAAAGGACATTTTATGGAATGATTGAGTCTATGAAGAGAAAAATTCAGAGGAAAGTTTCATAGTTACAAGCATGGTCATAAAGTTGTACTGGACTTGGGAATGAAAAAACGACTCTAGTTTATATATCGAGCCAGTCCACATTTACACTTGCACTTTGTTAATCAGCAGCAATTACCTTTATGCATGGTTTTCATGGGGGAAAATCTTAAAAAAAGGAAACTAATGCAGCCACCACATCTAAGAATTGGTAAGCTGTAATATAATATGATTTTGTGTTTATTGCCACTTTAATGCCCAACTCCAGGCTGCTGATAGGATTCATGCACATGGACTAAAATAGGTAACTTTTTATGCCTAGCCTAAATCTGTCAATGCTTTCCCACACCCGGAGAGTTGCATTTGCCATTGTAGCTCTCATCCCTGAAGTAGCTGTTGGAAAATAACGGGCACTTCTGTCCTTACTTCAGTGATGAACCATTTATATATTGGATCCACAGCACACCAGTACACTTTGTAGGAAGTTTTATAACAGATTTAATAAGACAGGTAAAACTCTGCAAATAGACCGCAAATTAGCTTGGAAAATAGCAGTTAAATGCACTGAATATACAAACCTTCTAGAATTGGCACAATAACATCAATAAACACAATATTCATGTATATACAGTTGTGTTCAAAATAATAGCAGTGTGTTGAAAAAAGTGAATAAAGCTCAAAATCCTTCTAATAGCTTTTATTTCCATCCACACAAATGCATTGGGAACACGACACATTCTATTCCAAATCAAAACATGAAGAAGAATATATCAAATTTGTGTTGTTCCTCTAAAACAATTGAAGAAAAGTGAATATTAGACTGTTCAAAAAAATAGCAGTGTTTGTATTCTTCTTTACAAACTCAAACATTCACTATATAAACTGAAAAATGTTTGAAGATTTTGCTTTCCTTTGAATCACTTACCGTATTTTCCGGAGTATAAGACGACTAGGCGTATAAGACGACCCCCTACTTTTCCTGTTAAAATGTAGTGTTTGGGCTATACTCGCCGTATAAGACTACCCCTCTTCCAACGCACACCAAATAAAAATTAAAAAACATCAGATTTGATTTCA